CATTATTACATATCTGAAAAATAGAAATATCTTACCTAGGTATACAAGATGTAAAATAATAATAATAATAATAATAATAATAATAATAATAATAATAATAATGTAATTATAATAATAATGATAATAATAATATTAATAATAATAATAATAATATTAATAATAATATATCATACAAGAATGAAATTACGCGAATGCATGCGAAGTAATTTGCAGCTACGTTTTAATTTGGCACGGTTCGGATGGTACGTTACGTCGACGAGAAGAAGATGCAGAAGAAGAGTTGTGAGAGTTGGCGCAGCATCGCGCCTCTGTCTTTCTTGTTTTCAGAGTTCACACTTTTCCATGACGGCGCTGTTTAATTGCGTTTACAAGAGCCCGAGCTCACACTAATATACATATTACTGGGCTGATTAAAGGCAGTCCGCCGGAACCGTGTATGTCGCTTTGCGAATTCCATGAGTACAGACAAATATGGAGAAGGTACCTCCCGATGCTCGAAAGCAATTTCCACGGTTAGATTAATTATTTCGTGAAATTCAAACGGTATCCCGCGAGATACGAATGAAAAATGAACCAAAGATGGGTAGAAATAGACACAAAAAGAGAGAAAGAGAAAAAGAGAGAGAGAGAGAGAGAAGGAGAGAGACAGAGATTAAGTTTATAAAAACAAAATATATCAAACTTTTATATTTAATATTTATCATAAATTTTAATAATATGAATTTGTTTGTTGATAGAGAATATTAATCTATTTCTTTTTTATCCAACAACTTTTCAGAGATACATAAAATATTTTATATAAAAAATAATAATTTCATTATTTATGAATTCGATAATAATTTGGTTAATCAAGATCGATATACATATTATTTCTACATACATATCAAGATATATCTATTAATGTATTTCAGAACAAGCAGAAGAAAATTAAGAAAAGAATTTATAATATCTATCGTATATAAATGTAATGGGAAAAATTATAATGTCTTAAGAAAACGTACGATGAAATTGAAAATATAGATTTTTATTTAAAATGAAAAAGAAAAATCTCGGGCTCGGTTAATTCTGATTGATTAAATCTAATGTTTAATCTCAAAAGCTAATATTTCTAATCTAATCTAATTATTAAAAAGTATTCGATTTGAAATGATATGACTTCGGAAACAAACATTAAACAAATCGTAAGAGTAAATCTTTGAAGGTTTGCAATAAAATGGAGGAACAAAGTATAATGGGGAGGGTCATGGTTGATTAAAAGCGTTAAGTTGAAGTATTTCATCGTCACGTTGACTCATTATAATCGCTGGCCAAATCACTCGCCATATCTTCGGTTAATCGTTCCGCTGATATTCATTATCGATCAGGATTATTATATTGACGCTTGTGCTCACGAGTTACACGGATTTCGAAGCTCCCCGAGGTACTTAGGAGTTTACGCTCCGTTCATTTATTGAGTTACATACTAATCGAGTTTCAAGCAAGTTATGGTTTATAGCAAGAGTTGCGTGCACGTACAAATCCTTCACCATTTTATAGCTTACTAAAACGAATGAATTTCAGTCAACACTTTATTGTTTCACTATTTATTATCACGATTTCCATTAGTGCAGATTTATTCCCGTGTTAAGAAAGAATTTCTTAAAGCTGATATAAATTATTCGAACATCATTCGTACTAATCTACTATCTCTAAATTAGAACGTTTAATTTTTTTTTTACTAAATCATAGACTCATTCAAAAGTATATATGCATATGAATAATTTATTGTATATAAAAGGTAAAATTATAGATAAGATTAAATTTAATAAATAATGGAATGAAATGGTGTTATAGTATTATATCGAAGAAAGAATAGAAAGGAAAAAAAAAAGAAAGATACGTAAAATCGGGAACGTACTAAAAAAAAAATGGGATCATTAAAATCAAAAAAAAAAAAACAAAAAAGAAAACAAAAAAAAACAGTTGGTTATTCTGAAAATGCGAAATTCGTCAAAAAGATATTCAACTGACTTTCATGATGCACACAATCGAAGCTCGATGATGGTCGTAGTTTTGAAAGAACGGCTGACACGGATTTTTCTCAGCAGTGCTAGCCCGATGATAAATCGCGTCGCTTATCGTCCCTGACATCGTCTCGGTCGTGCGTTTAAAAGCTTAAAGAGCACTGATCGTAAAGTGTTTTTCGCGGATCGTTCGCGCACAGAGAAATCGATTGTGCGCTTTTCCATAATGGTTCGTCGGTGAAAAAGATTGAAAAAAGAGGATGAGAGGGGTTGATGACGATAGAAAGAAACTAGGTGTTCCTCGGTAAACGGAGTTATCTCGGGTCATGTGTTAAACGTCAAAATAATTTCTCTCGTTTCAACGTTATCGAAAGATGTATCATCGCAGTGACGTTGTAAATGTTGTCATTTAAGCTTCAATAAATCTCGATGAAGTCTCCATACACAAATATATACTATCTATATTTCTATCAATTCGCGTAGAACATAATTAACGAAAAATAATCCTAAAGAATTGATTATTTATAATAACAAAACGAAAAGAAGGAGAAAAATAATTTGAATATTCTTAGAAAACATTCTACAAAATAAAGAAAAAGAAATATAACAATTAAATAAATAAAAATATAAACGACGATGGATATATAATAAAAAGTACAAGTAAAAATATTGTTTTTTTTTTTTTTTTTTTTTATATTTGCACAATCGAGAAGAAGAAAGAGAATGAATCATTTCGCGCAAAAATAACAAAAAAGAAAAAAAAAATTGAATAAGTAGAAAAGAGAGAACTATCAATCACTTTCAGGTCATGTAATTCGAGCAAAAGTTTCATTCGAATCACCACTGATCAAATTTCCACGAGACTATCGCGTTATTTATTTCGAGGTTGAGTCTTACCGAGCATAACCATAGTAATTTAATTGGAAAAGTTTCGGCACGAATCGCCTTATTCCATCGTCAAACCAATGTATCGACTGACTCAATGATTATGACGGCTAAAGCTTCACGAATCTCAGTACCCCTTTGGCTAGTAATTACATTCGAATGGAGCTAATTACGTTTGCCGTCTATTCGCAATGATAATCTCTTCGTTTGTGTTATCTCTCGATCAATTTCGAATGAGTTTTCGCGAGTGTTACGCGTGTTTTCAAGTAATCCTCTCTCTCTCTGTCTCTCTCTCTCTCTCTCTCTCTCTCTCTCTCTCTCTCTCTCTCTTACTCTATCTATTTCGGAGAGAGTAGGTCGTACTAATAAGAGTTTAATGAGGGCGAATAAACCACGTAATTGTCCTTCCTACGCTCCCTTAATGATCTTCCTTCGTTCTTGTTCATGAAATGAAGTTTCTTTACGAACTTACATACGTAGGTACTACGTTATTTTGCTGTTATGAAAAGAGCTCCTTTGATTTGACGTAAAATCTTACGCTGACTAATTAATTTCAAGGTTATCGTATTTACCTTGAAACTTTCTTACGTCAGTACTTTAAGTTGATACATTTTTAACGATGTCGAATACTTTACAACAATCATGTCAACTCATTACTTACTCTTGTATTTCTGTAATTAGTATTATTCTTTTACACAAAAAAAAAATCTTTGATCATTAATTCATATTCAATGATCGATTTTCTTTTATAAATATAAATTGTTCTTACTATTAATATAATATAATTATGTTAGGGTAGTAATTATGTTTTACATTATGTAATTTTTTTTTTTTTTTACTGCAAATACGAACAAAAATAATGAGTTTAGATAGATTAAGATTTAATTAACACTCTTGAAAGAATGAGAGATATAATATATCAGTGTATTGTTTTTAATCTAACGTTATTGTAAATTTTTTTAAGTATATGAGAATAAACGTGTAATGTTAAAAATAATCCTAACCTCGGTATATCCCTATCTCTTTAAAGATATTCAATCTAGCTAACAAGTTGTAAGTAACAACTTTGCAACTAATTAAAACTATCTTCGAGCGAATTTCTTAGCATCGAAAAATTCGAGGTCGCTTTTATTTATAAAAAAAAAAAAATTATCAACTATTTATGTTAAATTTTAATTATGTTAACACAAACGAGTCTAACGTTAACATGTAACACGCAACGAGTACTATATTAAAATCAAGAAATAATTTTATCAATTGTGGACTATACAACAAATGCTTTTGTTCCCATTCCAAATTCTTTTCACATTCATAGATTCTGCTTATTTTCATAATTTCTTATCTCGTTCTCACAGTCATCTTCGAAGAGGCTATATAACGTCGATTTATATGCAAATTCTACACGTAGATAACTGTAAGATCTCCGAGCTTAACGGTAGGTTTGAAGATAAAAATTTCCTCAAAGAGCTAGAACTTGAATTAATCCTAATTAAGAGATTATAAGTGTTTCATCTAAATTTGAATAATGCAAAAATAGTATAAATAATCTAATAACACGATACTCTTATTATCTTAATAACCTCTTAATAACGAACTAACAATATCAAAGTTACTAAAAAAAGATTTTCAGACAATATATATATATATATATAGTATTGTATGTATTTCAGTTAAGATTAGAATTCGTATTTGTTAGAACCACGTAGCGCTACGTATGTGGTTTATTAATCGTCCTTGTTTATATGGTTTGTTCTCTTCTGACGAGTTTATATCCTTTATAATATATATATTATTCCCGAGTTTATAATATATATTCTTTTTATATCATGAGTCATTTGGATTGAAAACATAAAATACATTGTAAATGTATACACTTCTCTTTTTTCTCTTTTTTTCTTTCTTTTTTACTTTCATCAAACGCAACATTCATTGAAAATGTAGTATAATGAAATAACAATATCTTGTAATATATTATTTCACATAATTATAAAACCAAATGCATATCGACCGAATAAAAATCCAACGAAATGTAAAAGATATTTTTGTAATTTTGTATAATTAATTATGATATTGGAATTGTATTTTTAATACAATATTTCTGTTCTGTTTCAGCTTAGAAAGGATTTCGTGAGTGAGATTTATTCAAGATCGATCGATTGGTTAAACGATGAAACAAGAAAGACGAGTAAGTTAACAAAGAACATCATGATAAACTTTGACAAACGTGAAAAATTTTAATTCGTGAATAGACTCATCCAGTGATTCGTGCTATGAGTCAAAAGGAAACTCGCGTAGGCGTGAGACTGAAAAAATCATTAACAACGTCCTATCGATCAGCGATTAACGGTGGAAGTCGTTCGGTTCGAAAGAAAAGTACAAGAACGAAGATGCTATCGGTAAAAATCTTACCATTACGAGAGTCCACCGGCTGGTAAATCTTCGATAGAAGTAGCTGAAGCAGTTAATTGAACTCGATGATCGGCTCGAATGGTAAGTTTCGGAATAACAAAGTTTAACTTAAGTAATATCTTTTCCTTATCCAACAGATGGTGAACTAAACTTTGAAAGACTATGAAAACGATTATAAAGATTATTGAAATATCGAATTATCGGAAGAAATTCATCTAGAGACTTTTCTTTCCAACTGTTGTAGTAATGAAAAAGTTAAATTATTCCGAATAAATGATATCAATTTTAACATTACAATCAATAACTTATTGAATAATTTCAATGTACATTTGAACGTAACTTTCAAAAATAGTCAAGACATAGGAAAAAATTACAAAATTTTATTTTAATTTCAATGGTAATTTAATTGAATCAGAACGATCGAGCCTAACAGATCATGTGGATGGATATCAAATTAAAAAAAAAAAAACAAAAAAAAGAAGAAGAAGAAAAAAAAATAATAATCATAATAATAATAAAAAGAATAAAACTCATTGTTTGTTATTAAAAAATGTATTTAATCAACTAAAATCTCGTTTCAAACGAATAAACATTTATTATTTGATTTTGCAATTCGTCACGTAATGTAATAACATCGAATCCGTTACGATCGATCGGAAACAACAAAAGATGAAAGAAATATCAAATGAAAAATATGGAAAAGAAATCGAGCTCCGTCGATAAGGAAGAGAAATTATCAAGAAAAGTAATACGTGCGAAATAGCTGATCCACGTTCTCTCTTCCGAGAACTCCTAAGATCCTTCGTAGCATTCCTTCTTCTCGCAAATGACGACGAGAAAGACGTGATCCTGTTACGCGACGCTGAATTTTCAGCTTCCTTTCCGAGCCGATAAGTACTGATTTCCATAATGGTTCCACGTACGAGTGCACTCAGTTACATTCTCCTTTCTATCTTCCTCCCTTTCATTGCTCGACACTCCTTCCTTCCCACTTCCCCTATCTCCATCGATCACTTTACCCCACGTTTTATCACCTACTCTAATGAGCAACCTATTATGTTATCTCGATTAATTAGCACGAATGTGTGATTATTGTAAGATTATAGATCATTGAACATTTAAAAATATATTATCGTAAAACAATTATTAATTATTAGATCGTATATAGATTATATATAATAGTTTGTATCATATGTAAAAGAAAAAGAAAACAAATTCAAAATAAAAATAATCATTAGAATTATATTTAACAAAAGTATGAAATTAAAATTATTAATAAATTATTTTCTTTTAAGAACAATTAAATAATTATTGTTCGAATATTAAAATATTTATAATATAAGGATAATGATAGAATGTCAAATATATTTATGTGTATTACGTGTCTATAAGATTCGAATGTATTCATATATAAATGTCTTACCTTATAAATATCTATTTACCAATTGCCTGTTGACTTATCTACTGTAATATAAATCGATACAAGAGATGTATTTTGTCAGAGACTGATTAATTTTCACCGATAACTACGAGAACCAATCTATAGCTATATGAAAACGTCTAGTAGTACGATATAAGACAGGTACCTAGCTTGGTGAGTAATGAACGCGTTAATTCGTTGCCCCCGGCCAAGATTCCACGCTTCTCAGAATTTACGAGGAAAGATACGACGAAATGTACAATTTAATAGTATTCTTAAAAAAAAAAATATCTCTTTCCTTCTTCTTCTTTCTTTTTCTTTTTTCTTTTTTTTTCGGTATCCATTTAACGTCTTTCGAGATCTAACTTGAACACATTATTTTCCCATTATTAAAACTTTACTTTCTCGGCTTGTTTTCGTATAAAATTTTGTCAATTATTTTATCAATCGATATATTCTCTCCAACTTGTTAATAATCATTCTCTTCGACGATTTAATTAATGTTTCTAAAATATTCATCGTACGTTGTTCTAAGTACCTAAAGTTTAGTGATTTTCATAGAGAGAAAACTCTTCAAAGCTTTTATCATGGCATCTAAGTACTATCTCTCTCAGGGACTCATAAACCACGCATACTGTGGTATTATCGTCTAATCATATTGAGAAGGATAACTCCTCGAGAAAATGAGGGAAGAGAAGGGAAGAATGGTTAGAGAAAAGCAATAAATTCGAGACACGTAGAATAGGCAAAGGCAAGGATAGGGTGGAGGTGCAAAAAAGGAAAGAGGGGAAAAATAAAATAGTTGAAATATTTGTGAGATATTTTTAATAGAATCTTGATAACTTCGTGAAGATATAATTTACTTGATAAGTAAAGAAAATGAGAGGACTGTGACGTTGAAATAAATTAAATAAGAAATTAAAATTTTTAGAATAAATTCAATCATTTTTGTAAGATATTTGAATACAATTTTTCTCAAAATAGAAATTTAATTAATCTTATAAAAATAATATGTAGAAAAAAATCGAATTAAAAATAAAAGAAAATGAAAAATAATATCAATAGTTCATCTATAATAAATTATATTTTTTCTTTTATCAAATATCTAAGTAGATTCGTTGTATAGTAAGATCGAACGTATTACCTGGATATATAAAAATAATAAAAGTACAGAATGGAGTCATTTATAAAAAGGAAAAGGCGATTATACTAACGTCGTATAATAACTCCTTTTTTTTTTTCAGAGGTGGCAAGGGCAATGGGTCCTTGCATCGCTTTTGGCAGGTAATCGTCGTTGTTCCACGGTGGCTAAATGAAGAGGGATCGTTTGGTGGGCCGGTGATCGATAGCGGATACCGCTTGTCGCCGTGCGAGATTCGATTCGCGATGGAACTCCTTCCGCTGTTATTACTTTGCCTCCTGATCGCTCAGCCAACAGCCTATTCCCTTTCGATCAAGAGTAAGCTCAATCCGCGGATCGTGCAAACTCGCTACGGCGAGGTTCAGGGCTTGATCAGGTCCTTCGAGAACGCAAAGTTCCTCAAACCGATCGACGTCTATCTTGGAATACCCTACGCTACACCACCCGTTGGGAGCAACAGATTCTCTCCAACAAGGGCACCCAGCCCTTGGGAAGGTGTCAGGTTTGTTATTTTTTCACTCTTTCTTTTCCTTTTTTCTTTTTGTTTATTTTCTTTTTTCTTTTTTCTATTCTTCCTTCTTCCACTTTAAATATATACTCTTTAGTTACGGCAAGTATGAGAAATTGACGAGAGTCAGATTTAAGAAGGAAACATTAACGATACATTTCATATCTATCCATCGTAAAATTTTGTTAAATATTTAAATCGAATGGATTCAATGAAAAATAAAAAAAAGTAATTAATTTAAGTCAAGAACAAAAAATTTTTCTTAAATAAAAATTTTAAACGTAGAAATGATACTCTTTCATTTCTTTCTAACGACAAATTCATGAAAGATTTTAAACGTGACAATAGAGTAAACGCGTTATCCTATAAATAGAAATTGGCAAGGATTCAACAATTTGGAAAATTGAAAACTAACCGTGAGTTAACTTCACGCAAGTAAATCATTCGGCATTAAATTTATGTTCCAAGTTATGTCCTGAAAAGGAAGACAGTAATTTTGAGAAGTTTCTTCGGTATCAGTTCTTGCAATCTTCGCTTAATAATTGTAACCTTCGTGGACTCGTCGAGTTTTCAAATATTCGAGTTAAACCAGCGAAAAAATTCATTATTCACGTTTACGCGCAATATGTCCTCCTAACAATTTCTTCGAATATTTACGATACATTTCTATTTTATGTACGATGTGATATAACGAAAGATTTAACTTGACGCGAATGCAACATATATCTCCGTTGAGTTTCATCTTGCCAATATCGGTGAATCTGTAACCCGAGATCGAACGTACTCTTACGATCGCTATTAAATTTATTTTCTTCCTTTTTCTTATATTTTTAACGACAAGCCATTGTCACAAACTTGACTCTTTTACGATCCTTATACGAAATGATTAAGATAATAGTTCCATTAAAATACTAATTAATGTCATATACATTTATATTTTATCAAAAAATAATAGGCAACATAAATGTTAATTAAGTCCGTATATCATCGATATTTAATTTATTATATTTATTACATTAATCTAAAAATGGTAATAGCTAATGATTGAATTTTTTTATTTTATAAATAATAGTATAACATTTTCTTTTATAAATATCATCAATGAACGATTCATTTACACATATACATATTTTTTTATTATAGATTTATATAATATTATATAATCCATTAATACAGTCGATAAAGTAGATTTCTGTTCTTGTAACTAAATATATAGATGTTAAAATATACATGTAGACAATTTTATTATTTTATATACATACATACACACACACACACATATATATATATACATATATACACAAAAATACACATAATGTATATACGATTAAATCTGAATGGCAGAGTAATCTATCTTACCGACTGGATTTATTTCTAATCAATAACAATGTATATTTTTTTATTATCGTTATTATTCTTATTATAAAGAATAATTCATTAATAAATAATTAATTAATATCATTCGTTATTACATTTATTTTATCGAAATGAATAGAACAATGAAAAGATATTTTTAAAAAATTTAATTTTTTCAGAGTAATGGACTCGGTCGGTCCAGTTTGTCCTCAAAAACTTCCAAATATCTCGATTGAGCAAGAGGCTCTCGAGCGCATGCCTAAAGGAAGACTGGAATATCTGAGAAGATTGCTACCTCATTTGCGAAACCAAAGTGAAGACTGTCTATATTTGAACATCTATGCTCCTGCTATGGGTAAGTGGAGAGATTTTCATTTTGATAGTATACTTTGCGATAAGGATCACATCGTTATAAAAATCATTGACATAGTTTCATTCAAAGAAAAAAGAAAGAAAGAAAGAAAGAAAAAAAAAAAAGAAAAAGAAAGAAGAAGAAGAAAAATGAATAAATTTTCGAAGGATCTTTTTAAAAAAGAAATCAATCATATCCTCTTCTCTTTTCTTTCTTACTTTCTTTCATCCCTTTATCAATCGGATCATTATATAAGCAATCCAAACTTGGATTGATATAATTAAACAGTTGGAACTAAAGAATAGGAAAGAAAAAAAAAAAAGAAAAGCAAACAATTTCATCGGATTATATCGTTATACATGTTTTAACGTGATAAAAATGATGTTCATAGGGTTGTAAATGAAAACGTATAATATCGCAATAAACGAGATAAGAATGAATGATTCCAAGTGAAATGACAGAAGTAAGTATATATGCACGTCCACGCCTTTGTGTTATCCGCGTGTGCATCTAACCGCGTAAACACTCGCATTTCTCTGCTCACTGATCCTCGAAGAAACGTTCTTTTCTTCCACATTTCGTCTAAGCGAACGGCGAACGATTACGGAAAGGAGAATACCAGTTCTCTTTCCTTTCTTTCGTTTCTTTCTACGAGTTCTTCCCGAGTTATCCACTTCTTTGAGAAAATCGAAACTCGGAATCTATTTCGAACGTAAACGATAATCTTTTATCCTCTTTGACATTAGAGGTGTATTGCTTTCTCGTTGTTTTTCTTTTTTTTTTTCTTTCTTTCTTTCTTTCTTCCTTTATTCGAGCAAATAAAAACTCTCATTATTACGGGTAATCCTTTATCAATACGTTATTCAATGTTTTATTTGTTTATTAATATATTAAAGAACAGAGACGTAAGAAAGTAAAATTTAGATCGCTTTATACGATCCCTTATCGGGATAAAATTTGATAGTACCTTCGAAAAGCTGCCATTTTATTCTCTGCCAAACCGTATTATTTTCGAAACGTGAGTTCACTTCCAAAGGAAAGAAATGAAAATATAAGAGAAACTCATTGGGATGAGTTTAACGAAACACTTGGCACCCGTAACCATTCGAGACCATGGAGGCATCCAAAAAATTCACTCTGTGTTTTCGCTCGAGGTGACCCTCTCCCTTCGTTCGTATTTAGGTCAAACCATTTTTATCCCCACCCGGTATCGCGGCATGCACGTTCGCATTTCAACAATGAAACATCGAAAGGTAAATGTAAACCGGAAACGGATGCAAAGAGGGAGGCAAAGCGAGCTACGAGTACTCGCGTCAAAGTATTCGGCTCGCTGCTTCCCTTGCAAAGACTGTGGAATACAAAAGCACCAATAGCTCGATCCATTTGGAACTAGATCGTACGATGTAAATGTAACTGTAAAACATTACGTTCACGTTGACATTTTCGCCCATATTCTATAATCTTCATATTTATTTTTTTCTTTTTTCTATTTATTATAAGAATGAAAAAAACAATGAAGAATTTTTTAATTGATCATAATACGATTATGGATTTCATTATAGCCCCATTAATTTATTAAATTAAATCCTACATTTATTTATTAATATTAAATTCGATTATATGCGTGTAATAAGAAATTTAATAATTATTAATTATATTAATATATAAAATTAATGATATAATACTCGATTATTCGATAAATACTCAATTATTTGATAAAAGTTCGTATCAATAATAACAAAAGTCTATAATTTATTAATAATCTATAAATAATAATTTATTTATTAATAATATAAATATATACATACAATATATTATTTCATTCGGAAGAGATCTTTATTAATATCAGCGATCATTATCAAAGGAAATGAATGTCGAGATATTCGATCTTCAAGTCAAACCGAAGGAGAACGTTCTCTCTGCTTCCTCTAGCTCTCTGTTACGCGTAACGCAAGTACATCGTCGAGTTGGATGGCGAGACAGCTGCAACGGGTCGTGAGTCGTGCCTAAGTGGCACCCGAACCACAAGAGTGCCTCGAGCTCTCCTATCCAGCTCCTCCTTACGATCCTCGGGGTGTTCATTTGCGCGATACGCTCACCCACTGCATTATTAAATCCGATGGAACGCGTTTTCCTCGATATTCCGGATCGATTTCATCCTAACTGATTGATTAAACAATGATTTCGGAGATATTATTAAATTAATAAGCTTTCGAATTATATTTGCACATTGGTTAACCATCAGGATACATTTGACATTATTTTGAAATTTCATTAATTAAATCAACGTTAAATTAATCGATTAAATTCCATTAAATATAAAGAATCGATGTTCATATAATTTTCAATTTTCCATTCTAAATAAATGTTTCTTATATTTTTCTTCTGAACAATACTTGAAATCCTTGTTATCATTGGTAATTAATGATCTACTCGAAGTGTATTCGATAAAGGATATATAATTGTGGATGGAACGTATTGATACTAATTGCACTCTGCCTTCGGCTCATTTCATTCTGTACCATAATAGCGCTAAGAGGTTGACTTCAATCGATGAATCGATATATAACGTAAGCCATCAGGATAAGAATATTACATCAATTATTTTGTTCAATAGAAGATATTAATTTATTAAAATATTTATAATGTTCCATTCAGTTTTTATAGATATCAAAATTCAATCAAAAAACGTTTTATTTTAATTATAAGTTCATTTCTCTTTCTTTAGTATTATTTTTTTTTTTTTCTTAAATATTATTCTATTTCATCTTATACGTTTTCAGGTTACTAAGACAATTTCTTTGTCTTGTAGATGATATTCCATTAATCCTTGCTCGTTCCCAGGTCATTTCCATGAATAATTATGTATATTGTATTTTTATAACGAGAGATAGTTAAGGGTATAGAAAAGGAATGATAGAGAGGAGGAGACAGACAGACAGAGAGAGAGAGAGAGAAAGAGAGAGAGAGAGAGAGAGAAAAAAATCCTTATTTCCGAAGTATTTAAAGATAAAATAAAAGAAAGGAAAAAACAGTGGCAGTAAGAGAGGAGAAACCAATTCCACAAAAAGTTTGGGATTCGATTATTAGTTCGCGGTCCAAAAACTTTTTCTTCGTCTCTCTCTTTCTTTCTTTCTCCCTCTCTCCCTCTCTCCCTCTCTCTCTCTCTCTCTCTCTCTCTCTCTCTCTCTTTCTCCCTCCTCGTTCTTTCTATCTCTCACTTTTTCATTCTCTTAGATCTTCCCTCTTTTTCTTCGTTTTATTCATCGTCAGTTCTCGCATTTCTTTCATTCGACCAAAAATATTCTACCTTACTATTTTCTCCGGAAAGAAGACAAACGTGCAATCACAAATTACTCGACTTTGGGAACTTTGAAAAACGGTAAGTACACTGAGTGCTCGTGCATCAATTTAGTTCCGCTGACTTTTGACGCGAATGTCCACTCTACTCGCGCTTTATGTTCTATATATTTCTTTCTCTCTCTCTTCCTCTCTCTCTCTCTCTCTCTCTCTCTTTCTCTCTCGTTCGACGTCTTTCTCATTCTCTCCTTCTCATGTCTATATGTCCTGATAACGAGACAAATATACTTTTAGTCTGCAAACCTCGATACGATCGAAATCAAAATATCTGTCGCTTTTCTCGAAATTTATGTGTACTCGATGTACTTTTACTCGCAAATGTAACGCCAGATATTCGTATGGATACGAGAAAAACGTCGGTGATTTTGAAATTTATTCTATCTCTTTTTTAGCTGAAATTAATGCGAGAGAAAAGAAAAAATAATTGTTTACGGTCGAATGGATTTCGAAAAATAATGGATTTTGTGATTGGTTAAATATAATTCGGGCTATCTCACCGATACGAAAAAGAAAGTATAGGTCAATGTATTATCTACGTTTCATGAAATAAAATACATATGCATGTGTGTGTGTGTATGTGTGTATATGCGCGCGTACATGCGTGTGTATATACTATATATTAAACATTCTACATTTATGTAAATATATATGTTCATTTAAAAATACTCCATTTTATATATAAATATATATATATATGTATATATATATATATATATATATATATATATATATATATATTTAACTCATAAAGAAAGAAAAATATGATAGATGATATATTTAAAAAAAAAAATACAATAGTACGATATATAATACAATATCAATATAAAGTACGATGATAAAAAAATTATTGTTTAAAGTAGGTATATCCATTAGGAATAATAAAAAACAATGAGTCAGTCATTCTTCAGATTCAATATCGGATTTTTCCCTTTAGGCAATGGACAACAATCTCGCTTATCATTTATCAACAATGAATCAAGAATTATCTAGTGAGAAATATTTCGCTAGGAAAACATCAGCGTAGGATAATACCAAATCATATATTACGACTGAAAAGCCTCTTATTCTCGACCTTAGTTTCTCCGACGTCGTCATCTTAATTAATTATTTCATAAAGACCGCAATGCATGGCGAGGACGAGAAAACGTGAAAGAAAATAAAGAGAAAGAAAATAGAAAAGAGAGATAAAAAAGATTCCATCGGGAAAACATCAAAGCTCTTCCATTATCACCAAGAAAATGCTTGAAATGATATTATGAGAAACGCAGATTATTTTTCATAAAGGAAACTTCTATCATAGTCCTTCACTTAATATTTTACATTTTTCTCTTTCTCTCTTTCTTTATTTCTCTATTTCACTCACTCTCTCTCTCTCTCTCTCTCTCTCTCTCTCTGTATCTTTTTATTTATCTATCTATCTCTCATTTTATATACATATATATCTCTATCCATTTTTCTATAGTAAATACCTAACGCTCATACATAAAATATTCTGGTGTTGATTTGTTTCTCCCATATAATTTGCAAAATTTATTTTATGAATTTGAGAATATAACTTTTATTACTAACACATATTGCTTTTTATATCAAAATTTATACACGTCATATATCTATAATATTATACTCTTTCGTCTTTTTAGATT